GCAGCACCTGGGGCAGTGGGTCTCCACCTATACACCAATGCCCTAGGGGATGCGAGGAGGCATAGTCAGTTCAGCTTCTGAAGGAGTGATGCTGCTCTGCTACATGCTTCCCAGATGATTTACCAAGTACTAATTCTAACCACCCCTTTAAAAGGTCTGAGGCCTGGAAGCCCAGTTCACCAAACCAGAGGACCACCTACTAGACATGTTTGACCTGACCAGGGGGTTAGAGAAAGTGAATGAATGCAAGGGTTGTAGGGGAGTCGAGCAGAGCTGGTCTTGCAGTATGAACTATCCTGCCTGATGCAGCTCTTTCCTGTTTTCTTCCCCACATCCCAACCATGCCCCCTCAGTCCATGGCTTACATGCTGAGTGCCAACATGGACCGGGGATTCACAGACTTCCAGATAGAGGCCGCCATCAGCAAAATCTTTGGCTCGGTGAGGACCCAGGCATGACGGAAGGGCAGAGTTCAGTTCAGGAACTCAGCTCCAAAACCAAATTCATCTGTTTCTGTGTCCTTAGGAGGCAGCCTGGAGAGTAACAGATGAGTGTATCCAAATATTGGGGGGCATGGGTTTCATGAAGGTACGGAGTATTCCTCAGCATGGTGTCCTACATTGTGGACAGGCACCTGGCGACAGAGGTTTATGTATCTCCCCCTTCACTAGGAACCTGGGGTAGAGCGTGTGCTCCGAGATACTCGAATCTTCCGGATCTTTGAAGGGACAAATGACATTCTTCGATTGTTTGTGGCTCTGCAGGGCTGTATGGTAAGAGGAAGGAGAGGAAGGGAGAGGAAGTGTGAAGGACACTGAGTCCTGACTGTTGGACCCTCCTCCCCGACAGGACAAAGGAAAGGAACTCACTGGGCTTGGCAATGCCCTAAAGAATCCTCTTGGGAATGTTGGCCTCCTGATAGGAGAAGCAGGCAAACAGCTGAGGCGGTAAGCCAGGGACAGGGCCAGGGAAGACAAGATGGTAGGCATGCAGCAACTAACCAGTCACCCACTCTTCCATTTCTTTCCAGGCGGACAGGACTTGGGAGTGGTTTGAGTCTCTCCGGGGTTGTCCACCCAGAGTTAAGTCACAGTGGTGAACTGGTGAGTGGTCCTTTGAGCAGAGCCTACAGCCGGGGGCTGGGCTGCCTTCTTCTTCTGAGCTCTGTGACTCTTGTCTCTTCAGACAGTGCAGGCTCTGGAGCAATTTGCCACTGTAGTGGAGGCCAAGCTGATGAAACACAAGAAAGGGATCGTCAGTGAGTGAGCCCTGCAACCCCCTTACCTTCCGCCCCATTCCCTCCCTCCTCCCCTCAGACTGCTAACCCCCACACCCTCATCTACCTGACAGATGAACAGTTCCTGCTGCACCGGCTGGCAGATGGAGCCATTGACCTCTATGCCATGGTGGTGGTTCTCTCCAGGTAGGAAGGCAGAGTGGGAAGCTTGGGAGCTTTGAGCCACAGAGTAGCTGGGCCAGTACCACAGCACAAGATTATCAACCTCTCATTTCCTTACAGAGCTTCAAGATCCCTGAGTGAGGGCCACCCCGAAGCACAGCATGAGAAAATGCTCTGTGACAGCTGGTGTATTGAGGTGAGCCTTGGAGGTACCCAGTGCAAGTGGGGAACTGAGACAGAGGCCTGACCCTCTTTTCTCCCCCAGGCTGCAGCACGGATCCGAGAAAACATGGCTAACCTGCAATCCAACCCTCAGCAGCAGCAGCTCTTCCGTAACTTCAAAAGCATCTCCAAGGCCATGGTGGATAGTGGTGGCGTGGTGACCAGCAACCCCCTTCGAATCTGAATACACCCAGTCAGGCTCTAGCATCTAAGTTATGTGCCTTCCCTTATGCCAAAACACAGGCCCCCTTTATGGGGCCCCAATAAGTGTTTGTTCTCTGGATTCTTTACTGCCTTAAGAACAATAAACTTTCTAACAAGCCACCCTCTGCTGCTGCATCTCTCCAGTCCCTCCTGTCCAGAGCCTGCTTCCATCCCAACTTTCTAACAAGCCCCTCTGCTGCTGTACCTCACTGGTCCCTCCTCGTGTCTCCCTCTTCTCCACTGCCTGCCTCCCAAAGAAAGGAGCCAGAGGCTTGGGGAATTGGCCTCTATTGCTTTATTTGGTATTTTATACAAGTGACTAAAATAAATAGAGTAACAAAGGCAGCTACACAGTCCCCATGTACACACCACCAGCTTCCTTGGACTGCTGTCTAGGGTACCCAGGCCCCCCCCTTCCTCTTCTCAATGTACCACTAACCACCACCCACCCCCCAAGTGACTGCTAATGAGGCAACTGGAGGTGGTGGTCATATTCTGGGGTTAGAAGGGACCCAGGAAATTTTATATGAAGGGTTTCTTCACATAAAAGAGAAAATGTCTACTAAAAAAATACTCCCCAAAATATAAGAAAGTCTATTTTAACCCCCCAAAAGGCTTATAAAAAATAAAGCTAAAAATAACCAAAGGTCCCCGACTACCCCTGAGGAAGGGGAAGGACCAGGCACTGCTGGTGAGAGTCACAGTGGCAAAAACATTGTGGTAGGTATCAAGCACCAGGATGAACACAGGCACTATAAGGAGCACCAAGCTGAAACTTGACAGGCCAAGGGCACGGACCCAATGCGGCCTCA